AAAATTTCACAGTCTTGTGATGATATACGCTAAAATTTCATTGGCCAAAACAAACCGCAGATCGTCAACGTGTTTTTCGATTAAAAAAATTAGCTTTTGACATTAGAATAAGGGTGAGCATTAGGATGATAGTAGAAAAGGTGGGGTATATAGCAAAATTTTGCAAGAAATTTTTTTTTGCTAAGACGCAGAAAATAGTTTTGTAGTCAAAATTTTGAATTATGTACAATTTTTTAAAAAAGCTAGCAGTTTGTTTTGTTTTTTACATTACACCTGATCCTGTGTTGTGATTGGTTTAAAATCACGTGTCTGCGAACATTTTATGAACTACCCAACAGCACCCACACGATTTCGGCTATTATGTAAATCTTGTGTAACATCAATAAATATGATATACTGATAAAAATAATATGTATCATTATTAAATATACATAATTGATATTATATTAAATTTATTATTTTTTAATAACAAAGCTTGTGATATATTTACTTTATTATTATAAAATACAATTTAACTATATTTTATTAATATCAACATTGCAAATAAAAGTATTATTTTACTTTATATTTTAAACTAAAAAAAACAATGTATGATGATTATGATCTTTCCATGTTCGAGGATTTGTTGTTCTTCTCTTATATGTTTCAATATCTGTTACCATTTTTTGTAATCCTGCAAAACTGCTTTTTACGGATTTTGCCTATTTATAATTTTGCTTTGCCTTTTGCTCTCATACAATTTTAAGCGCTTTAGTAAGATATAGCTCATAGTTTTTATATAAATCATCTGAGTCATTATCGTTACTATTTTCATAATTTTTCAACTCCTCAATACTTTCAATATTAACTGTTACATTTGGTTGATTTTCTTTATCTTGTTCAATATTAAATATTGAATTTGTATTTTCTTGAAAAGATTGTGATCGTGATACTGTAATATAAATTACTTTGCATTAAAATTAAAATCAGATCTATTTTACTTAATAATTAAATATATATTACCTTTTAAAGTTAGTAAAAAAATAAACGGATATTTTTCTTGCCATTGAACATAATGAAAGAATTCTGAATTTGTATTGAACTTGCATTCGTGTATAAGATGTTTGCAAATAAAGAATCGACTCAATAAAAAAGATTTACAATTGCATATCCATTGTTTAGTATCTACAAAATAAGTATTGTTGATATTTCTTTTACTAAGAGCTTGCCATTCAGATTTAATTTTTTTTTGCTATGAAACTTTTTCTCTTTTATTAATATATTTTTGATATTGCACTTGACAATGTGGAATAAGCCGTGAAATAATAATATATATTACTAAATCAATACGTGGATGATAAAATTTAGATAAATAATCGTGTTTAACTACTTTCCAATACAATTCAATAAGCATTGTTGTACGTAATATACAAATTTCAGTTGAAATTGATGAGCGTGCCAAAAGAATCCACATATTTTTTTGATACCAGTAAGTCCATAAATAGGCCCACAAGTGTTTTAAATCATTATTGATGCATAATTGATACATTTCGTAAACTGAAGATTCCCAAATTTGTTAATCTGATAAAAAATTTCCATTAAGATCCAGAATAAGTGAATGTAAATGAAAATGTTTATTCATTGTTTCGATAATAATTGGTCATAGATCTTTTGCGCAAAAAATACAGTTATATTTTTTTTGCTCTTTTTAGATAAATCCAATAATTGAGGATAGAATTCTTTATCAATAAAATTGAATATATTATGAGCGTCATTTGAACTATAAGTGATTGTTCTTGGTAGTGTATTATCAGAAAGTCATTTTTTGATAGCTTTTTTTAAATGCCATAAACAAATTTGTACTTTCACATTTGGCCAAGTT